ATATATATAGAATACTTTTTAATATATCTTCGTTCCCTTATAAAGTGTGACTTTCTCTAAAAAGGGAACTTATTCTTCTATTTCGCTAGCTTCTAACACAGTACTTGCCATAGACCAGGCACTGCAAGCTCAAATTACTAAGGAGGCCAGTCAGAAAACATAAATAAAATGGGCTGATGCCTGGATATTTGCCACATAAAAACATTTTCTACTTCAACAGTGAGTCTCGTTGGGAATAAAGAGAGAAGTTAGGGAAGAGGAGTGAGCTAGTGCTTCAAGAAATTGTTCTCTACTGTTAAAACAGTAACATTAACTACTATGCAAATGATACAATGAATGGCAATTAACACTCAGCTCCTGCGAGGGAGCTATAGGGAGTAGTGAGGACTGCAGCAAACTAGAAGCTCATTCTCGGTCCAGAAAGGGTAACCACAATTCAGTTCTAGCCAAGTGTTGCCTTGTAAGAATATAGGCCCAGTCTCACCAGATCTTCCCTTCTTTTTTTTCAAGACTGAGCATCCCAATGTTTATGATAAGTCTCCCAATTTTAAAATATTGTCTAACATCTAAATTGTTTTAAAAACACTGTCTGAGCCTACTAACTAAACATGCCAAGACTACCAGTTTTCTACTGCTATAATAGACACTCATTAGCTATTGACCAAATGAATGAATAGTACTTTCAAGTCAACAAAGCTAATATTATTGAGATGAATGGTTCTCCTGTATATTAGAATCACTTGAGACATTTTAAAAGTGACTGATATAAAAATTTTTTTCCTAATGTCTATGCTTCATCCCCAAAGATTCTGATATGGCCTGGGGTGGATTTTTTTAACTCCCGTAGCAACTCTGATGTGCAGCCAGGGTTGAGAACCACTGGATCACTTATCCCCACAAAGGTCATATGGTTTAGATGACATTCATAAACATGTAATTCAGAGGAAGGTGAAATGATGGTCATAATAAGGCACTTATGGAGGAAGTAGATCTTGAAAGTATTCAGTATATGCTTATGTAAGTTTTTATAATAAATGAATGTAAGATTTATGGATGTGTAAGATGGTGCAGAATACTGAGCAAAGATAAAGAGACAGCAAAATGCATGGATGAGTTTACTGAGGAATTAGTAAGACGAATGGCCTGAGTAGGCAGAATGGCTGTTTTAGAATAATACAAGAAGAGTATGCCTCATGTATCTATAGTAGAGAAATGATAACTTCTTTAGAAAGTTGAATTTGCCATCAAGATTCAAGGTGAATTTTTAAGTCAAGTGAGTCCAGAGGTTAAGGATTACAACGAAGATGTCTTTACAGCAATCTAGGCATAAAATGACAAGAGGCTGTAAAAGTGGAAAGGGAGGACCCTGAGAGAAACTGCAGGGGAAAAACTGGCAGAACTTGTTGAGTATCATATAACAGATGGGGAAAAGAGAGTGGTCAAAGTTTGAGAGCAAAGTGGAAACGGGAAAAAGGTAAACATGAAATGAATGAGTTGTAAAAATAGACTAAGTTTTACTCTTTATATTTATCCTATATTCATTTTTTCTGATGAATTTTCTATATGTCAGTGCTAAATTATATATTCGTAGAGAATTGGAACCAATTTTGTAACTTTTTCAATATAAACCCTAGCAGAAGACTGTGTAAATAGGCACTCCTTTTAAAACCCTTTTAAAAAATTTCCAAACTTACAGAAGAGGGAATATATAATGAACCCTCATGTCCCTATCACCTGCTTCCACAATTGCCAACTTTAAGCAGCACTTTTTGATAGCAGTGAGGGCGCAGGTAGTGAGAATTTGTATATTATATATACTGACTTTAGACAGATGGAGTGGGGGACTAAGGAAGACAATATATACAATCCATGTTCATTAAGGTACCTGTAGAAAATATATAAAAGGATGAAAAAGATCTCACTATCCAGACAGCTGCTGTAAACACCTTGGGTCACGATTCAGTCTTAATGGAAGATTTGTCACAGAATGAAATGAGTAAGTGTTTTTGATAAGTGAACGCACTATTCGTATCTAAGAGGCTGTGATAGCTTTCAGTAACAGAAATGACTAAGTTGTAAAGCCTATCAGATAACGCTATGCAATGTAAATGCTTTATTTTTCTTTTCTGTAACTTAATGTTTTAAGAATTAATTATGCCTTTAAATAAAAATGCAAGTCTATATCTAGATATTTTAAATGTCTTTTTTATTTAAAGTTTAAGGACACTTATAATGCCTGAGATTAAAGAGGAATTTGAATAAATATAATTGCATCATTAATTCAATCTTATAATTAAACAGAACTTTTTTATAGGCCATATTTGATCTCAACTTTAGTAGAGAATATTAGTTTATATTTTGCAAATTCTATAAATGGGCTCTCAATGCATACTAATAGTTAACTTGCATCATATATATGGTAAATTAATAATTGCCATCTAATAGCATATTTCTTCTGCCCTCTGAATCCCAATTATATTTATATTCATTTCTAACCATAGGTTTCAAGATTGTTCTTCTTAAGTAAATCTCATTGCACATATTTGGCAGCTAAGGTTACATGAACATACATTGAACTTTGTGGTTCTCTTTCTATAAATAATTTCAATTGCTAATTTTGACATTTGTGGGCTTTGAAACTTACTATAAATGAACATAACAATAATTATTGTTTTCTGTGTAAGATATTTTATTTGAAAGGGGTAGCTAATGAATAGTGCCCAAGGGCAGATTTTTTAATCATGTAAAAGCCAGGAGATATTTATTCATTTGAACTATGTTTTTGTGTCTTTCTAAAAATAAAAGAAAAAGGACTCCCTATGATGAAATTTGAATTGCCAGAGAAATGGTGTACTCTTGTAATTGACTGTACAATACTCATGTAAATTGTGATATTTTTTTATAAATGCACATATTGAGAGATCCCAATGAAGCCACTAGAGGAAAATGTAGTTGTTTCCTATGGGTGCTTTCTAGCATGTTCATGCGAGCAAAAAGGGAAATGTTGAAACTTCTGTTTTAGAGTGCATTTTATTGAATGTCATATAACTCGATCAAGAGGATTAAATGAAATTAATAAAATAATTGTATTTCCATGAAGCCAATGTTACCACATATTCACACTGTTCACTTTGTCAATTCCTGGTGCACGATAGCTAATAACTGTTAGTCTGCAGAGGACGTGAGATCTGATGATCTTATTTTCATTGAGGGAACCCCAGTTTAACTAAACCAGAGAATCGGGTCTGGTTATTGAAGGTGATCATTCAGCTACTAATGACAAGATGTAGTAGTCTGTTAAGCACAAATCATAACTAGTAATTTATTTAAAAATTAGGAGGCAGTTTTTTCAAGTGCCCTTCTTTCCACAGCAGCAGTCTCATTGGATTTTTACTCCTTTTTAAATAAGAAGAGACTGACATCCCTATCTCCTAGCACAATTGCAAACAGGTAAATTAATGCATCTAGCAAAACCATGAAATAATCATCTAACTATAGTTGGCATTAGTGAGATCCTTATTACAGTTTCTTCTTTGGGTTCCACATTATAAAAGTAAAATTCAAATCAAGCAACAAAATCTACTGTAAAGTAGAACCTAAAAGAAAAAGGAGTTAGATTCTGACTTTAGGAAAAAACAAGATACTCTTTGATTTCTTCTTTTCTAAACTCAGACTTTTGGTAAGTCTCAATTTAGGGTTGTTGTTAAAGGGATGACACAATTTCTAATTCCAGAGTCTGATAAGAATTCAGAGTAAATTCAAGCTATCTCTTACATGTGAATTACATACCCTTTCCCTATCTTTAGTATTAATAAAGCATAACTACTCACATTTATTTATTAAAATTTTTTTAAATGTGAAAGATATTTAGTATGGATAGTGATACAGTATCTGTGAAATCTGTTATAGCACAGATTATTTATAAGGTGAATTTTAGTTTTTCTCTGATATTTCTGCCAAATGTTGAAAAAACTTAGATATGTAAAACAATATCAAATATGAAAAATACGTTTAATCAGTTTTATAATTGTGCTGCTTTTGTAGGATTGATTCATTCCAATCTTTACATTTCTCCTTTAGATGTCTATTATAGCATTGCTTATTAATAACAAGCCTCCTCACCCCCCAAAAATAACAAAAACCTAGAG